TGTGGCACCTTTGAGACTAACAGAAGTATTGGGAGCACAAGCTGTCGTGGGTAAGAACCTCAGGCATCTGAAGAAGTGAGGTTCTTACCCTCGAAAGCTTATGCTCCCAATACTTCTGTTAGTCTCAAAGGTGCCACAGGACCCTTTGTTGCTTTCTGTGATAGACCCAGACCAGTTGAGAACAGCAGAGTAGCAGAAGGGAGATATACTGGCCACTGGATAAGTAGTTTTCTGTTCCCTGAGTGACCAGAGCAGGGGCTGCTCCAGGCTAATAGACCACCTGACTCCAATTAACCTGCTAAGAGTCAGGTGAGGCAGTTAAGCACCTGACTCTAATTAAGGCCCCTCTGATGCTATAAAAGGGCTCACTCCAGTCAAGCCAGGGAGCCAGAGGAGAGGAAGTGTGTGAGAGGTACTGGGAGCAAGAGGTGTGCAAGAAGCTGAGAGTGAGTAGGCGCACTGCTGGAGGACTGAGAAGTACAAGCGTTATCAGACATCAGGAGGAAGGTCCGGTGGTGAGGACAAAGAAGGTGTTGGGAGGAGGCCATGGGGAAGTAGCCCAGGGAGTTGTAGGTGCCGTGCAACTGTACCAGGAGGCACTATAGACAGCTGTAGTCCACAGGGCCCTGGGCTGGAACCTGGAGTAGAGGGCGGGCCCGGGTTCCCCCCAAACCTCCCAACTCCTGATCAAACACAGGAGGAATTGACCTGGACTATAGCTTCTACCAGAAGGGAAGGTCTCTGGACTGTTTCCTGACCCACAGGGTGAAACTGTGAAGCGAGCAAATCCGCCAATAAGCGCAGGACCCACCAAGGTGGAGGAGGAACTTTGTCACAACACTTATAAAGTTTGTGGATACCAAGCTGGGAGGGGTTGCAAGTGCTTTGGAGGATAGGATTTAAATTCAAAATGATCTGGACAAACTGGAGAAATGGTCTGAAGTAAACAGGATGAAATTCAATAAGGACAAATGCAAAGTACTCCATTTAGGAAGGAACAATCAGTTGCACACATACAAAATGGGAAATGACTGCCTAGGAAGGAGTACTACGGAAAGGGATCTGGGGGTCAGAGTGGATCACAAGCTAAATATGAGTCAAAGTGTAACACTGTTGCAAAAAAAGCTAACTTCATTCTGGGATGTATTAGCAGGAGTGTTGTAAAGAAGATACGAGAAGTAATTCTTCTGCTCTACTCTGCTCTCATTAGGCCTCAACTGGAATATTGTCTCTAGTTCTGGACACCACATTTCAGGAAGGATGTGGACAAATTGGAGAGAGTCCAGAAAAGAGCAACAAAAAATGATTAAAGGTCTAGAAAACATGACCTATGAGGGAAGATTGAAAAAATTGGGTTTGTTTAGTCTGGAAAAGAGAGGACCGAGAGGGAACATGATAACAGTTTTCAAATATGTAAAAGGTTGTTACAAGGAGGAGGAAGAAAAATTGTTTTTCTTAACCTCTGAGGATAGGACAAGAAGCAATGGGCTTAAATTGCAGCAAGGGAGGTTTAGGTTGGACATTAGGAAAAACTTCTTAACTGTCAGGGTGGTTAAATACTGGAATAAATTGCTTAGGGAGGTTGTGGAATCTCCATCATTGGAGACCTTTAAGAGCAGGCTAGACAAACACCTGTCAGGGATGGTCTAGATAATTAGTCCTGCCACGAGTGCAGAGGACTGGACTAGATGACCTCTCGAGGTCCCTTCCAGTTCTATGATTCTATGTTTAAAGTTTCCCGTGGGGATTCCTACATGGTTCTATGTTAATTCGAAGGTCCAGTGCGAGGCTTTGGGACGCTCCCTCCCCACCAAACAGCCAGGCACGGTGCATTCCCCAGTGCATTGCTGTGGCCCTGAGCAGGCCTGTTAGAACATTATCTCTCTGTGTCATTTGCTGATTATATTCACAGGCTGTCATCAGCTGTTTCCCCTTCCATCCTGTGCGCTCCTCTCCGGAGTCCCTGCTCCTACTTTCTGCCCTGTTCTCTGTCATCAGGAACAGCTCCAGGATAAAGCTCTTGAATCCAAGGCCACAATGCGCTGGTCAGTATGCAGGTCTCCTTTCCAGCACACGGCCATGCTCCATTTCCAGCGAGCAGCTGTGTACAGAGACCCGCAGCACAGAGATTCCAGGCACCACAACACCCAGCCTTCCAAGGGAATTTTCCACAAGTCCAGGATGTTTTCTGTACATCAGCTTTTCATTGCCACCGCTCACCACTCAGGCCACTTGGCAGAGCCATAAGGCGGCTTTTGTGTCATAGGTAATGAGAGTTTAACTCTCAATTTCCTTAGCCACAAATGAATGGAAACGGGAAACGTCCTGTGCAGATCAGCTGCTGCCCAGAGTGTGCCCCTGCCCAAACATCAACTCCATTGGTCTCTGATCCCTCCCGTGAACCCAGCCCCTGCTTCTGGCTCCAACTGCACGCCCCACAGCACACA